AACATGGTGGTGGAATGAGGAAGTACAGGACATCATCCAGAGGAGGAGGCTAGCTAAAAAGAAGTGGGACATTGAAAGGACTGAAGAAAGTAGACAGGACTACAAGGAATCGCAGCGCAGAGTCAAGAGGGAGGTGGCAAAGGCCAAACAGAAAGCATATGATGAGTTGTATGCCAGGTTAGACACAAGGGAAGGTTAGAAGGAATTGTACAGATTAGCGAGACAGAGAGACAGAGATGGAAAGGATGTACAACAGATAAGGGTGAATAAAGATAGAGATGGAAAGGTGCTAACAAGTGAGGAGAGTGTGCTGAGAAGATGGAAGGAGGATTTTGAGGAGTTGATGAATGAGGAGAATGAAAGGGAAAGAAGGGAGGAAGATGTGAATATTGTAGAGCAGGAAGTTGAAAAGATTAGAAAGGATGAGGTGAGGAAGGCCCTGGGGAGAATGAAGAGGGGAAAGGCTGTTGGTCCAGATGACATACCAGTGGAGGTGTGGAAGTGTCTAGGAGAGACAGCAGTGGAGTTCTGGTCTAGGTTATTCAACAGGATTTTAGAGAGTGAGAAGATGCCTGAGGAATGGAGGAGAAGTGTCCTAGTACCAATCTTTAAGAACAAGGGTGATGTGCAGAGTTGTAACAACTACAGAGGTATAAAGTTGATGAGCCACACAATGAAACTTTGGGAAAGAGTAGTGGAAGCTAGGTTAAGAAGGGAAGTGGATATTTGTGAACAGCAGTATGGCTTCATGCCCAGGAAGAGCACTACTGATGCAATTTTTGCTCTGAGATTGTTAATGGAGAAGTACAGAGATGGTCAGAAAGAGCTTCACTGCGTCTTTGTGGATTTAGAAAAAGCGTATGACAGGGTGCCAAGAGAAGAGCTATGGTCCTGTATGAGGAGGTCAGGAGTGGCAGAGAAGTACGCCAGAGTAGTTCAGGATATGTATGAGAGAAGTAAGACAGCAGTGAGATGTGCTGTAGGTCAGGCAAAGGAGTTCAAAGTGGAGGTGGGGCTACATCAAGGATCAGCTTTGAGTCCCTTCTTATTTGCTATGGTGATGGACAGGTTGACAGATGAGGTCAGACAGGAATCTCCGTGGACAATGATGTTTGCAGATGACATTGTAATTTGTAGTGAGAGCAGAGAGCAGGTGGAGGAAAACCTGGAAAGTTGGAGGTCAGCTCTAGAAAGAAGAGGAATGAAAGTCAGTCGCAGCAAGACAGAATACATGTGTTTGAACGAGAGAGAGGGAAATAGAACAGGGAGGTTACAGGGGGCTGAGGTCAAGAAGGTGCAGGAGTTTAGGTATTTGGGGTCAACAGTCCAGTGCGACGGGGAGTGTGGAAAAGAGGTGAAGAGACGAGTGCAGGCAGGTTGGAGTGGGTGGAGAAAAGTGTCAGGGTGTTGTGTGACAGAAGAGTGTCAGCAAGAATCAAAGGAAAGGTGTACAGAACAGTAGTGAGACCAGCCATGATGTATGGGTTGGAGACTGTGGCAGTAAAGAAGAGACAAGAGGCAGAGATGGAAGTAGCAGAGATGAGGATGTTGAGGTTCAGTTTAGGAGTGACTAGGATGGACAAGATTAGGAATGAGCACATCAGAGGGACAGCTCAGGTTGGTTGTTTTGGAGACAAAGTCAGAGAGGCCAGGTTGAGATGGTTTGGACATGTGCAGAGGAGGGATAGTGGTTACATTGGAAGAAGGATGCTGGAGATGGAGATGCCAGGCAAGAGGTCAAGAGGAAGACCAAAGAGGAGATATATGGATGTGCTGAAAGAGGACATGAAGGTAGTTGGTGCAAGAGTAGAGGATACTGAGGACAGAGTTAGGTGGAAAAGGATGATTCGCTGTGGCGACCCCTAAACTGGGAACAGCCGAAAGTAAAAGAAGAAGTGTCAGTATGGAAGGACCTCTGGCATGGCTCTTTAAACAGGGTTCTCATCAGTCGAGTCTATGAGAGCGACTGAAAGGGAACGTCTAGGTTACTTATGTAACCACTTCAGGGAATGGAGGCGTATCCCCTTGACATGCTTTAGAGCAGGGGTGTCAAACTCAGTTCCTGGAGGGCCACAGCCCTGCACAGTTTAGCTCCAACCTCAACTAAACACACCTGATGCAGCTCTTTGGGTCCTTCAGGCTGTTTGAAAGCTTCAGGTGTGGATCTCTCTGAGCAGGGTTGGAAGTAAACTCCTCCAGGAATGGATCCCGACACCCGTGCCTCAGAGCTTAGGGATCTGATGTTCTGAGAGGTAATGGGTTCAGATCCTCAGAAAATACAGAAGGAGTATAGTCTTCACTGGGCTTAAATACCCAGCTGATTCATAATCACTGGCACATGAACAATGGTTACGTGCATCATTGCCACTTTAAAATGGCAGACTCAGTCACTCTCAGGGATCGTTCCCATCAGTAGACTCTCCGTTCACTCCTTCTGGTTACGCAAATAACCTAGACTTTTCCACATTTGTGTTGTGTTTTGCAGTAAGCTTTGTTTACTGGACTCACTGCCCTGATAGGCCAACAGTTGTAAATATTTTTGAAGATAATTCATCCAAATGTTATCTGATAAAAGGTGAAAGAGTGAAAGAGGAAGAAAATGCATAGCTGGAGCCTTATCAAACTTGCAGGATCCACCAAGAGGTGAAAGCGAATGCCAACATTTGAAGCATTATTTAAAAGCATGTTAAGAATATAAAAAACTGTGTAGCAAGTGTGTCACAAGTACAAACCAAGCCAATGAGCTACAAACCATTACTGCAGGATTTTTTTATAAATGAGTACAATAATGTGTAGCTGGCAGATAGCGTGCAGGGCTACAAAGTAGCAGTCACTCCTAAATAAAAGCCCTTTCATGCAACTGAACTGAAAAGCTTTCTTCCATCGGCTCAAATATGTGAAAACTTCACAAAACATCATTTCAATGCCCATTTACTGTTTTTCAGACTATCTGTTGTTTTGTTCACTCTAAAGTTCTAAAGTCTGTCTTCAAAGTGGTTCAGGATTGTCACCTACCAGAACTTTCTCGACCAGCTGCATTCCCAAAGAGCAGGCCAACTGCTCGTTAAGGGAAATTTCTAATCTGCCCATTACAGTTTGGGGCAGTCATGGCAGCCTAGTGCATAAGGGAGTCCACTGGGAGTTATAGGCGACCATTTGATGGCCTTGAGTAAGTCTCCAGATTATGGTCTGGTCTGAGTATTTCAGAAACTGCTGATTTACTCACACAACCATTTCTAGGGTTTACAGAGAAGTGTCCATGTAGGAGAAATCACGAAGGATTAAGGCAGTTAATTAATACAACCTGGTACTTCCAAGAGGTTAGGTGGTGAGTGTAGTCACTAGTGTTGTGACGTTTTGCGAACTAATGAAATCTTTTGAACGGCTCATTAATATGAACGATGGGAGATGATTCACGTGTGGTCGGGAGCCGTTCCCCCTTTTGTGGGGGGGTATGTATACTTCTATAAGTAGGTAGGTGGAACAGTGGCGACCCCACAGCAGACGCTGTCGTGGAGGTGCGGGCGTACTTGGAGGAACCACTTGATCCTAAGAAAGAAGACTCTTTGAAGTGGTGGGAAAGTCGGGTACCTGTGTATCCAAGGCTTAGCCAACTAGCGGCTAAGAAGCTCTGTGTTGTGGCCACATCAGTGCCTTCAGAAAGAATTTTCTTCAAAAGAGGAGAAATCACCTCAAGTATTCTAAAGTGAGAGCGCTTGTGTTTCTCAATTCGAATTTGCAGAAAGAAAAGAAAGAGAGGCCATAAAAACTGGAACTGGTTTATCATTTTGGAAATATTAGTAGGTTATTTATTTTGTTTAGACGAATTTTCTCACTGGGTTTATATAGTTTTAAAATATTGTTTATTAGTTTTTCAGAATTGTTAAAAATGTACTTGTGTGGAAAGTTTGATTCTAAGTGACATCGTAAGATTCGTTTCGGGAGCGTACAGGAAAAGATAATTAGGCTGGGGGATTCCCATAATTACTTAATTATCCGTTCTATAAAAGCCCCAGGATCTATGCATCCCCCAGGCTCTCTTTTGGCAACCCTCCTCCACCCCTTCACCCCTCTACATATTCAAGGGGAGGTCTCTGGGCTCCTACCGCACCCCTGCACTCGGACCCCTTCCTCGGACAGCTCACCTGGTACACTTTATCTCCACCAATCTCCTTGCGTAACCATGGCCATTTTCTTCTAATGTACTCTTGTGAAAGGTTTTTGCTTGAAACTTTATTGAAGCTGCTTGGTTATTTGTGTAATTATAAGTATTTAGGTGTGGCGTTAAATAACAAGTCAAAGAAGTTTCACACACATACTTTTATACAAAGGATAAATAGTGATCTCACTGTCATCTCAGTAATACGGCAGTGGAATATTTATAAAGAATCGATATCTTTATCTTTAAAATCTTGTCCACATGTGTCAAATGAAGCAATAATCAATATTTCAGAATATTTCAAACTCAAGTTCTGGTAAAAAAAATCTTAAAATTCTTTAGTGATTATGTGTGTGATTATTGATTAGTGATTATTTCCAGAAAAAAAAACAGGCTGGTTTCTTAAAAGTCAAAAAAAAGGAGCCAAATGAGCCAGATCCCAAAGGTCCGGCTCCCTCCAAAAAGCCATAAATCCCATCACTAGTAGTTACTTTTTTAAAAGACATCTGACCACAGAAGCAATTATCCAACAATATTATAAAATGTTCACCATGGACATGACCAAAGACCTCATGCCATGCCCTTCTTTCTCCCTACATGGGCACCAGATTGCTTTTACGAAACAATTTTTGTAACAACTTCATATTCTTTCCGGCTGGTTCTCTTTCAGATAAGGGGTTTCTGCTGGAGCTCTACGGGCAAGAGGCTGGGGTACACCATGGACAGGTTGCCAGTCCATTGCAGAGCAACACATTTACACCTAAGGGAAATCGAATTATTCCACAAACCTGAGGGGAAACCGGAGAAAGCATGGGAAGACCATGCAAGCTACTTCCAGCAAGGTCATCGGACGAGTCTCGAACTGGCAACCTTCTACTTGAAAGGCCACAGTGCTACTCATTGCACCACCATGACACCCTTTTGGTATACTGTTTTTTTTATCTAAAGCAAATGGTAAAAAGCTTGTTTTTCTTTACATTACAGAGTAAAATGTAACACCTTGTTTCTTGTGGTGTGTATTTTATTGATGAAATGCTTATAAAAATAACCTTGTTTACAGCCATCGATGTGATAAAATCACCCTAATCTTTTTTTATTGTGTTATTTATGACAAGAAAAAAGTGTGATTTTCGATGATTTGGTTCACGCATGAGAGTTGCTTAACGGTCTGAGCACCCAACGGTCTGGCTTTTGCTAGCGCCTTTTCTAAATGCATGTATAACCAGGTGCACTGTGTTATATTAGGGGTTTGTGTTTAATTTAGAGCAATTGGTGTTCTGTTTGAACATCTGTCTTTCATTTAAGTTCAAAGTCTTGAGCCATGCCGACATGAGAGTGTTGTATAGAGCTGCTAAACAATGCAATTAGTCTATGCTATTCTACCTTTTTGTGTCCATAAAACACTGTTTACACCTCTCTGGTTTAATTTTTTTACATATTTTTTGTTTACTTTCTTTTGCATTTATTTTGCCAAAAAATAAAACGTCAATAATTATACAATTTTAAGACTGAGGAAACTTTTATAGCTGTTATGTTAATTGGCTGGTTAGATTTAGACACAGGGGGGCCACCATTTTGAACTTTGACATGATATTCTAATTTTGAGAAATGTTTAGATTTTCCATAGCGATTATCATTTAAAACATTTAAAATTTGGTTTGTGTGTAGTGAACTAAAATAACATGGAAGTTTCACCTTTTTAAAACAGATTATTTAAATAATGGACTTTCCCTCTATACTCAATTTTTCGGCACAACATTTTGTATTTTGCTTCTAAGACTTTGAGATAGAACTCAGTTTTCAAATGTTGTCTCATCTGCACTTATTAATCAATTTCAGTTATAAAATGAAATCAAGGTTGAATGAAAGCTTATCAACAATGGAAAAAGGGTGCTCAGTCAGTGCAGTTTGAGTGCAGTGAGCTAATCCCAATCGAAGTGGTGCCATCTAGTGGCCAGATCACTCACTCTTCATTCACATCATTCAAATCTGAGATCCGAAGTAAGGAACGATTTTTGCATTAGGATGTGTCACTAAACTTTGAAAAAGTGAGAATAGAATTAAAAGATAATGACAAGCAAGAAAGGTAGAAGAAGCCTATTTGTTACATCAGTAACGACTCTGAAAACTTGCAGAGAAAGTGGTAATATTATAACAACCAGTGGGTGGTTTAGAATCCGTCTTAACAAAGACACTTACAGCTTGGTTTTACAGCTTTTATTGAGGACACCAGACAGCCATGCATCTCACATTTAAAAAGCTATTAGCGGCCATTGAGTGACGAGGAGGCACCCAAAGCCACCCCTGCCACGATGTCCATTAACAGCACCATAATGAGATGCGTAACAGAGTACGCATGAGCCAGTCACGCCGGAGTAGAGTGTGTGATGTCACACGGGAAGTAACTACATTATCCCCTGCTGAGATGGTTAGTGTCACACAACCCTACTCCCTAAGTGTCTTGATGACTCCTTGTGCTTCCGAGCATGTAACAGCCGACCGTCAGGCATTCCCCAATGACTGGCCCTGTCACCCGAAATACCATGTCCATGATCTGCTTACTAACTACCCGAAGTCCATGCTAGTGGCTCGCAATTTGAAGAAAATACCTCTTCCCCACCTTGAACTAGCAATCCACATCTTGCTGCCAACAGCAAACACAGGTGCATCATCGGGCAGGACGTTTGGTTGTTCCTGGCAAGTATCTGCTTACCCTGGAGCCTTGCCATTCCGAGCGAGAGGGATAGGTGCTGGACAATTCCTAGCTCAGTGCCCTAGTGTCCACCAGTGGAAAAACTTCCTTCAAGCATCGAAAAGGAAGCATCCTCTTAGTCTCCATTTCAGACTACGCACTGCTGCCTGACCTAACACGGCCTTTGGAGATTCCTGTGTTCCTAGATAGCCTCTTTGGTTTTACTAGGGATGACTTGCATTGAGGTCTCCATGATCAGGAAGCAGGGGAGCTGATATTTTTGTGTTAGAAGAGGCATGTGTCCCCACCTCCACTTGGAACCACCTCTGTCTGTGCGCCAAAGAGATTGTGTCAAAGGAATTTACATAATAAGAAAACATTGACTGCAACCTCAGCAGTTTTTCTTGCAGTTACTAACGAGGAAATGGTGTGGGTGTAGCTTGCAGTGCCTTTCTCCAGGGAAAGTGTCGCACTAAGGTTTGGTACCTCCTCTCCTCTCCGGCATCTAACTGAGCAGAGCAGTCAGTGCTGCCTGGCCCTGTCCGGGTTTTGCCCAAGGGCCTGACCTCGACAGAGCTATGGTTCAGATGTGTGGGAGTGGATGTGTTTTAATGTTTTTTTTTTTTAGTAAGGTCTTAGTTCGTTTTTTAGGTTTTCCCCCTCGTGGGGTTTTCTGTTTTTTTTTCACTGTTTCCCTCAATCACTCAACGCATGATAGTTTGTGTAAACTGCGTCATCCTAACCTCTGACTAATTGTCAACAAAAATGAAAATGAAAGCATCATTCCATGGTGTTTCATTAGAACTTTGAGGCTGGTTAATCCCATAAATGATAAAGTAAACAACCATAATGCTGATAGCAAGAGGTTAATTGAAGAATATAAAAACTAAATTACTCTTGAGACCAAAAATCATATGATGACCATAAACAATCCTTAAGAACCTTTGTACCAAGATCATCCATTCACAAAACACTGGGGCACACTTAAAGCCATCACAAATTTCACTTTTGACCGCTGGATCACACCATATATTATAAATGGATGGCTCTTTAAAATACAGCATTAGCCAAAATTTTTACTTTCTTTCATTCATTACATGCTTAATCCATAAGCGTCACAGCAGGGATCCCAGCACACAGTGGGCAAACTAGGCGGGGTTCCCACATAACAGGTTTCCTATGCATCATAGGGCAACTTTTAGGAATTCAGTGATGCTCACAAGATTTTCTGATTTTCCGACCAGTCCTGAAGCGGTGCTATTTGGGTCTAGAAATTTCAGTCATAAATATATACTAGTCACCAAACCACAAGTTCATTTAAAATTTAACCAAGAAGATTGCTGACAACAAGAAAATAGAATAGAACTTTAGTTAATGAGTCACATATTAAACAGAGAATAAATGTGATTCTAATTGCTCTATATAGGGTTAATCTCATTTCTGCCAACATCATATAACCATCTATAATCAATTAACTGTTATCTACAATCAGTGGCTATCAGCAGAAAGGGCAGCACTGTAATGCACACTGTTACAGTTTACTACTGTGTCACATGGGTGTGCTTTATTTCACCATCTGCAATAAAAATACAATGGAATCTGCAGCACATGGATCACAAACAACTGTCCATAAACTCTCTGTTCCTGTTTATGTGCGCACTTAGCCTCTTCAGTAGATAATTAGGATCAGCATCTGCCCAAAAGCTCTTTTACCACAATGACATTTGACTGTTTCCCTCGCCTTCTGTGAATCTCTGTAAAATATATGACACAACTTGTGATCTGTTCACATTGGAATCTGATAATGGGCATGAATTTATTATTGGAAAGAAACACTTACGTACGATCTGATCTTGGTTGTTGACTATTCTGTGTATTTGCAGCCATCAGATATCATGCAGAAGTCTCGGTCTTCACCAAGTGTGTCTCACATGCCCGGTGGAGGGAAGCCAATCCCACCCAATACAATTCTGTGGGAAAAGCGGAAATTTAAAAATTATTTTCTCAGAAATTTCGCTATTTACACAAACAGTTTTAGAGATTTTCGAAAGTTATCTATACAGTGAACAAACTTCAATACTTTTTCTCTTGGCTCTAGTTTATTTTCGCGTGGTTCACGGTGGCTCAATTATTCCCTAAAAAACAGGCGGGACCATGTGATTGACAGCTGCACAGGACAGAGCTGACTTACCCCTTTCAATGTGACATGAGAAAGGTCATTTACACTGCCAATGATCAAATTCAGAGAATGTTTATAATTACAAAATATGTTGTATATAACAGGCTGACACCTCTGACACCATGACGGTTCCATCCTCATAAAGAAGTCGTGTGCACGCATCAAAGGCAGCCTCCTCTCAAGCTCGAAAATAAGCTTCATATTAGCTCAATGGCAGTATTAGGTGCCACATTTTTTTACAGTCTATGGTCTGAACCCTCAGCTCAGCGACCGTTAAGCGTTTTGCATGTGACCCATCACTTTCTCTCTTTCTCTATAACTCTCATTCCAGATGGCTCAGTGCTACTCCTCAAATGTGTACAAATGCCCCATTGTTCGCAAGCAGCATCATTGTGTTTATTTGGAGGTTCGTGGTTTTGTTTATTTGCACAGAGATATGGTTCATGAAGAATAATATTATTAATACCTGTTTAAATAATAATTAATATTAATAAAAATCTGATTAAAATGTTTAATGAATACCTTGGAAACTGGGAAAATGTAAGATTCTGTATACTTTTTCTGTTGTTTTAAAGCCATAAACACACTTTTTCTGAACATTTTCACCAAACTCTAATAGAGTAGAATACAAACCGGAACTTAGCTTCAATTATCGCATACAAATCTATCAAAATTAACACAACAATGACTTACAAACCCAAGTTGAATTAACACATTAAAATTGGACGAAATTCTCAGTCAACTAAAGAACATTAATAACTCTCTAAAACATGTAAGGCTGAGTTTAAAATCTAAAACTTGTGGTAACAAGACATTGCAAGTGGACACAATGAAACGAGATGTGAAATTCTACAATTATTTTTGAAAATAAGAAGCATTTTAAGAAGTTAATGTTTAAAATCTGCAAACGTCTACAACAAACACCATGTGGCAATGGATTCTGATGAACATTTGCAAAATATGCATGTGCAAAATACTTCGATATGGACAAAAACGTTCTGCGCATGTGCACAATGGTTGGACGTAAAATCTCACAGGGAAGTC